CCTAGTTCTAAAAACTGTGGCACAAGGGACTTAGTCATAGATGGTTATCTATCTGAAAGCTGTACAATGTTGCCTTTTGAAACTTTTCATCTAAGCATCTGCTGAACAGAGTTATGTAAATAATTAAATGGTAATTTTATTAGAGTCTTCCTTCTGCAATATACAGTAACTGGCAGCTGTGGAAGTGAATGTGTATGCTGTCCTCCATACCAGAGGAGGAGAGAGAAAGTTGGAGTTGACAATCCTGAGGCTCATTTCTGCAATATAGAAGCATAATTTAATGTTACTTCTGAATGACACCATGTGTGTATAGAGGGAGGTACTGAGATAGTTTTTTTTAAAGCCATTGTGCATTGGATCAACATTTTTAGCAACCAAGAACTCAATAGTGAGATGGTGAAATTGATTAGACTGGATGACAATCTTGTCTAGTCAATTTCATTTAAAAGGAAATAACTGTATTAGGGAAATAACTGTATCTTAGTTGGAACATTGTACCCCCCCTCACACACACACCAATTGGCAGACCTAACTTTGCTTCTAAATAAAGGGTAGGATAAGTATTGGGTTTTTTTTAATGCTATTTATAAATTTTCAGAAACGGTGGTGCAGGTTGGTATAGGTATGTTTCTCATTATAAACGTTTAGTCCCAGATACTGGGAAAAATCACACCAAATGATTACACTTCTTGTACTAACAATGCTTGGCTTCTGGGACCTAGCTTGGCTTTTCCAAAGTATGGGATGAGATGTTGTGAAACTGCGGAAATGGTTCAATCAGAGGCCACTCTAGGAGAAAAAAACGAGCTTTTATACCATAGGCAATGAGAACCACCTCTGAATATTTTTTTTTAAAAAATTAGGATTTCTATGCAACCAAATAAATAGTTATAATAATAGCGGACATCCTATAATATGATCCTGATATATAAAGGATACAGTCATAGCTTTGCCTACTCTTGCAGCCACAATCATCAGACCCTGATTCCCTTAATTTGCACTTGGTTTTTTTAAAATAAAACTTTAAAAAATAATAAAAAGCAGCTTTTGACACGATGCATGTTAGCGAATAGAATCTCCATCTGCCATTTCTATAAGATACTGTACAGTATCTGTTTTTTGCAATGATTAGCACCTGAAGCTTAGAAATAGGGAAAAAAAGAGAGAGAGAGAGAGAGAATGAGTGCGAGACAGAATATCTTGCCATGATTGACTTATTGGTGGTGTTGAATGCAAGGTGTCTGGTCCTTTCCTGGCAGCCTTGGCAGGCACTCTGTAGTCTGCACAGCACATATTTCAAGTGAAGAAAGTTGCTTGGGTTAACAAAAGGTCACTTGATGCAACCATGGCATAGTCAGGTTTTAAATCTCTGATCAAGTCCCCACTTTATTTCATAAGGTGCAATGCTTGAAAAAGCAGCGTTATAAATAATTATACAGATTGGATATAGCAGTTTAAAATGAGATTGATCAATTATTATCTGCTGATTTATCCTCATCTAAAAAATTGGACTTTCAAATAGCTATGCTTTCAGGGTGGTGGACAAGGAAAGGGTTTGGGGCGGGATGTATTGCATACTGTTACTGATATATTAAGTGCTATTTAAAGTAAAGAATGCATCTTGAAAATGGAACACTCTGGCTTTAGTTGCCTTGGTTATAAATAAATGTTTCTTCTTCAGAGCAGAGATTTTATATTGAGGAGACATGCTATATAATAAATGTGCAGGAACTGATTGGATTTCTGGTTTTTTATATTGCAGAATAATCTGTACCTAGAGAATTGTATCAGCTTCTTACAGGTTTAGAATTAATTCCAAAGTTATGCAAAGTGTAGTGAAGTAGAATAAATAGTGAAACATGTGCTGCTTTGCCAGCCTTCTGTCTTAAACGGATTTCAGTAGAAAGCTTGTGAAATATTCACAAGAAAGCTAGCCATATGAAACTCAGCTCAGATACTGCACTTTGTTAGTTCAGGGTATGTAGCCTTTGGGCCAACAGTGTTTTGTTCTGTTTTTGTTTTGTTTTGTTTCAATTCAAAGTAAGTTCTCCTTGGTGAAATCTTATACCATAGCAAGTTATATTGGGCTCAACATAGTGAAAAAGACATTGAATCCATTCTCAAAAAGTGGCCGTTGGTGTAAAAGAAAATGTAAATAATAGTACAAAGCACAAAGCAAGCAAATACTGATGATGGTGAAAACACTGGGCAAGATGAGCTGCAGCACCTGGACTCTTTTTTTAAAAAAAAATGCAGATCAGAAGGAAAATAGTTGAATGATTAAGTAAATGGTTCATAGAATAAATCATGCCTTTCTAACGGGTTGGCAGCAATTTGTAACAAAATGATGATTAAGTATAAATAGAAAGTTTTGGCACAAGAGATTGGGTAGAAGTTTGTAACCTCTAGGTGAGAGGCAAAACACTGTAATTGATTAAGCAACATTAGACGCAGTAAATAAGTTTAAGATCTTTTTTTTAATTGTACAGCTTGTTTCTGAATATATGAATGTGTGATGAGATCATGATAGTTTGTTGGTTGTCCCCCTGACCTTTCTTTCACAGACCAGGCCACTGCGTTGAATAAGGCTTATTGCAAGTAGGTATAAGCGAGGCCCAGAATCCATTCTTTGTGATGTCCTCAGCGTAAATTAATAGAAGTCTGCTAGTTACACAAATAGCTTTCACAGGATTGGATCCAAAGGTAGGTATGTGCCATTGGGATGATGGGAGAGGATTTCTCACTCTTTCCTTCCCATGGCAGCCCTTCCAGACTTCAGAAAATGCTACACAGAGGGCCCCTTTTGAGAGGAGTAGACCATACTGTGTCACTTTAAATGTCATAGCTCTACCATAAGAAATAACGCTCCGATTGTAGTTTAGTAAGGTACAGTACATAAAATGGTTGTTGTGGGTTTTTCGGGCTCTTTGGCCGTGTTCTGAAGGTTCTTCCTGACGTTTCACCAGTCTCTGTGGCCGGCATCTTCAGAGGACTGGAGTAGGAACGCTGTCCGTGCTCTGTTGGTGTTTGTTGCTTACATAAAATGCTTTGGTACAGAGTTGTACTGTACTCGTCTGGATGGAAGTTAAGCTGAGTGCCTGTCTGCACTTTAGAACCAGGTGGACACAATTCTCAGCTCCTCTTTTCTCCCTTCTCCAGATGGCTAGAATTACTGTACCAAAATGTACATCTCAGGATGGAGCCATGACAATTGAAGTGAGATACAGTTTATATATCTGTGTAGTGAAGGTACACATGTACTTTCCTTTAAAATAAAATATGAGAATCTAGGCCAGCTAATGATATTAAGAGCCACCGTCTAGCTTGGCTAGAATCCATGTAAAGCTAGTCATTTGGGAAATGTAGTAACTCTTCCTTCCACTCCCCCCCCCTTTCTCAGTGTTTCTTTGTCTTCTTCTTCTTCTTCCATAGCCAGTACTCATTCTTTCTCCTCACTTTTCTAACATCTGAATATCAGGAAGCAGACATTTCTCATTAGAAATGTTCACTTAGAGGCAGACAAGGTTCACAGAGCAATGGGATTACACAGAAAAGAGACCCATCTTCTACCAGTGTAAAATGGTTCCAGCAGTCAAGATATGAAGACCAAGCCTCATTCTAGACATTTGCAAAATGAGCTGTGAACATTTCAGCTTAAGCCTTGAGTTGATCTGCCATTGATCTCTACTTCTGTGGATTCTTCTTGCACCGAGTGGAAGAATATGAGACTGCAAACAGTCATTATTATTTAAAATTAATTTTATTTAATTAATCCATCCATGCAAACCCTCAGCATCCCCATAGCATGCACATCACATTCCAGATGTCTAGGTTGTTTGGTCTGAGGTAGAAGCAGACACGTAAGGAGTGGCCAGTCTCATTGGGGTCAAGGCTGTTTTTTCAGATTTGCTGAGAGCCAGAGGGGAGAAAGAAGCATGGTCAAATATGTATATTTGATATTTGATTCCTTTTCTTAAAATGTATTGGCTGTGTACTGTAAAGACTGCTACAACGGGGTTTTGTTAACTGAAAGATGGCTTTAACTGAGTCTTAACATTGGTCTTTTTAACTGAGAAAAGATTCTTATACTGTCTAGCAGCTACAAGTCTCTTTTTCCTAAAGTAAACAATTATTTTGGAATTAGGGGTGAACCCTTCAGATGCAAGTTGCTGTTTGATAAGTGTGTTTTCCACCTACTGTCTCTGTCATTAACTTTACCACTCCCCTTCCCAACTCGTGAGTAAATATGACTGACCTTTAACTTTCAGAAAGAACAAGGAAAAGGCTGTGTGGTCTACAAAGATTATACAAATGTAAGAGTGGGCGATACCTTTTATTGGACCACTAAAAATCAAACACATTACAAGCTTTTGTGGAGAAATTCTACTTCTTCAGGCTTAGCACAACCCCTTTATGGATAGTGAAGAACAATTGTATAGAAGAGTCCAAAAATTGGTGGTACACGTCTGTGGGAGCTGAGATAAATTCTCCAAGGTTGCAATCTCAAGCCTCTCTGCAACATGGTTTGGAATTTTTACACCCCTCTCCTGGGACCAAAAGGCTGCTAACTATTCTCTGCTTCCCCCCCCACACACACACACATTTACATTGCCTGCTTTGATATTCCAGTTTCTTTTTGACTGGTGGTGTGTGTAAAACAGCACAAAGAAAAAGCAGCCTGTAGCATAAGTTAGGGGTTATAATTTGATTTAGTCACCAGGTAGAAATAGCCAATTATGCCAAGTTAAAGTCAAAATAATGCTTTAGTCTGGTGAACGTAAGACTTTCAGTTCTCTCCTTTTTCCCTTCACAAATGGCTGTATAGTCTCTCTCTCTCTCTCTCTCTCTCTCTCAAACCTGCTTCTTGAACTTTGAGAACAGGAGTTTGGTTAAAGTCTGTCTGGACCTTTAAAAGGCGAGCTCCTCCCACAGACGGCTTTAAAAAATCACTATTGTGAGGCGGAGCTGAGTACAACACAGCCAACTGAATTATAAGTAGTTGCATCAGTTGCCTGCCTAAGGGACACTTGGAGGATGATATATAGTAGTAGGTCTCTGTAACTGTCTTAGATATGTTGAAAATCAGATTAAATTACAGGTCTTAGCAGTTATATAACTCTTAGAATCTTCTGTTTGTATAATGGAATAATCCTTTTATGTACTTCTGAAGCTGCCTTAAAGTATTTCTGCAAGTTTATCATTAAACTGGAATGTATCTACAGATCAACATAGATAAATATTTTGCTGTGATTATTTTTGGAAAATCTAGCAAAGAGTAAAGCAGCTATTTGGAAGATATCCATTCCTGCCTAAAACCAAAGAGAAGCAGAATTCTTAAGGACAAAAAAAATAAATAAATCTGGTGAGTTGTAGCTGTTTAGAATTTCATATGTTGTGTGTCATAGATTGTAGATGTGAGCAGAAGTGAACTATCAACAAATGGATTAGTTGTTTGTTTTAAATAAAGGAAGCAAATGTAATCTATTAGTTTAGTCTTTACTAATTTCTTGGGTGGCAGTTCTGTTTATATCAAAGTGTGATTGCTATCATAAATGCCGTTTCTTTTCAGGTGTTGATATGTAGAGTAGCAAATCAGTTTTTTAATATTCCACTATGGATATACTCTCACCTCTTTCTGATATTAATAGCAAACCCATTGATTTTGGAATTACATCTTAGAAAGAGCTAATGTTCTTAATTTTAAATACCTTTATTAAAAATTCATGTTTGGGTTTTTTTAATCAATAGCTTTATATAAGGGTTCACAAACAAAATAAAACTGAGACTGTACTTATTTGAGTGTGAATCCCACTGAACTCACAGGACCCTTCTTCTGAGTAGATATGTATAGGATTGTACTATAAACTTTGTCATAACGTATTGTGTTAGACTGATGAGGTATTTGAGCGAAATAAGAATTTGAACAGAAAATGCATTCCAGTTTGACATAAAAATGATGCCACTATAGTGATGAAAAAAATGGTATTACGTATTTGAAAGTTGCAGTGTATGTAGTTTATTAACATGAGAACTGAATTGCTCTTGCCATCCCTGGTGCCCTTCACATAGTTCAAACTTCAGTTTGCATCACCTCAGGCCAGCAGCAGGGAACTGGGAACTGTAGTCCAAAATATTTGGAAGACACTGGGTTTCAAACTTTCTGAGTACACAAGGCTATTTGAGCTGCATGGTACCATGGATATATTGTCCTGTACATGTACCACACTCGCTTAAAGTATAGCTTGCTTAATGTAGAGGCAGAGTGTGCTGGGGATTTCACAAAATAATTTTTAATTTTCTTCAGTGGCCCCATCCTTCGGAAAGGGACATCTAGCAAAGTTATTGGAGTAGGGCAGAGAACAGACACCTTTTCAGCATGTTGGGATGTGTATGAGAGTAAAGAATTTTTAGTTTAAAGTAAAACCTTTGTTGTACGTAGAAGATTTGATAAGGAGGCTGCAGAAATAACCCTCCAAGAGAGGGAAGTAGTTACCAGCATTTTGCTGCATATGGCTCTGTTTTTGTATTTATGAATGAAACACACATAGCTTAAGACATTGTATGTTCCTAGTGCATTGTCACCCGAAGGAAGCTAAATGCTTTAGTATTGGCCCATGGATTTCTTACTACCAAGAACTGAAAAGAGCATGTAGCATTGATGAGATACTGTTTCCTTGAATTAAAAATGTGAGTGAATCAAGATGGAGCACTTGACAGGATTTGGGAAAAACATCCCAGTGGCATCTCAGTGGTTAATGAAGGACTTTAAACCTCTGCACTGTGGAAATTGCTTTCAAAGCAAACCTGAATGTCATGCAGCCAAGAAATAAATCTTGGAGTCTTCATGTGAAGGGGTGACTTAACAAGTTCATTGGAGGTCTAAAAGAAGCTACACAGAATTCAAGTTGTACTTGAAGCCCTATGGAAGAATAGCAGGTTGAGAGATGAGAAAGTTCATGATGTGGATTATTGCTTCATGCAATCAAGCTGTAAAGTATTAAGATCCCATCAGTAGCTGTGAATCAAGAGGCTTTGCATTTCCAGGAATTTGGCAGCAGCAATGAATGTGAAAAGCAAGCGGGGAAAGTCCAGAAAGAAAGAAAGAAAGACTGACTGACTGACTGACTGACTGACTATCACCTGCTAGTAATATAAAGCAAAGAAAATGGGCAGTGTTTGGACCATGAGATGAAACGAAGCTGTTGGTGGTTGTTCCCTCCCTCCAAAACCAAACAAAAACCCACAAAAACAATCATTACAGGTTTTATTCCATATGTAAATAGAGCATCTCTCAGAAGGCAATGACTGTGGCAGGTATACAGATGTTGATCACTGTGGACTTGAATGAGGTGGTCTGTGCCTTACCAATTTGAAAACAACAGCCAGAGAGTCGTTGTCTCACTTATATTTGGGATATTAGACAACCTTCAAACTGTATCAAAAATAAATGTAGCAAGTTTTTTGGCAGCACGTGTGCAGACAATCTACAGGAGAGTGCATATGCAGCTTTTCCATCCGACAGCTCCATGCAAGCCAGCCTCACCTACTCTGTGTAAGACTTTAAAATATTGTTGGCGTATCCTCCTTGCACTTGGGAACCTTGGTAGTTCATAGCAACATTGGCCACTATATGCATTAATGTTCCCTGCCCCCAATGCTATTTGGGCCTTCTGCCATTTGACTAAATTCATTAAAATGTTATTTGAATGTAAACTATTCCCAGAGGATTTGTGAAATTATATGGGTCTCTGGAACGTAGGCTGTATCTGAATTTTGTTAAGCTAACAGCTTTGTGGAGATATTCAAACACTGGAGATACAACTTTGTATGATGGAATTGGCTTTTTTGCTTTATTTTATGGTATATGGAATAAACAAAATCATTTTCATTTGGACAGGAGCTAAGGGTCCCCATCCATCTCCTTTTCAGCTAGGTGAGGAAAAGAGCAGTATGGGTATGGATCACTCCAGATTATGTAGATTAAGATTTACCATCTAAGCAGAAGATACTGCATACATTAGCAGCCAACAATCTAAATTAAAATGAATAGGTTGTACAGTGAAAGGTCATATAGGGAAAACATTGTAAGAGGTGGCACATCAATTTTAAAATATTTTTGATGGTATTAGGGAGTAGAAAACCGTGTTTGTGTGCGTGCACACACACACAAAATGGTGCTAAGGAGCTATTTGCAGCCCACTTGTGGGTTTTTCAATCATGATCCAGAAGCTGAGTCAGAGTAATACGCCATCCAAGTATGGTTCTAAAAATAATAGCTGAACTGTTTGAAAAAAAAAATCAGACTTGATTAATAGTTTCTGTCACTAGCTAAGATTAGGTTTCAAAGGAATAGACTAACATTTCAAAGATTGCATTTGTGCTTGATGAAGCATATGATCAAAGGAGAATAGTATTTTTAAGTATAGTCTGAATGGAAATTGTTTTAAGAAATGTATTTGTATAGGAAGTATTCATATTATGATGATGTGGATACTCTTTCCAAACAAAGAAGCTCTCACATATTGCTATGTACGAAGTGCCCATATTTTTAAATTACCCATTTATATTATTGCTGTAATCTAGAATGAGCTGCAGTCATTTCTAAATTAATTTTTATCAACCATTTATGAGAGGAGGAGGAGGATGTTAAGAGTTCAGAGATCCTACAGCATAAATCAGTCTGTCATACTTTGGCTTACTATGTATGTTCCTGGGTGATTGTTGGGAGAAGGGAATCTACTGGTGTTTAGGAGAAGAAACAGAGATAGCTAGGAGCAGTCCAGATTGAGACTGCAGGAAACAACAGACCACTAAGGGAGTAAAACTGTAGATCCTAATCTGAACTCATTACAGATCACTAGAGATGGGCTATAGATAACTAGAGAGATGTACAGTATTTGTAACCTTGGGAATACAAATACGGATCATGCCAGCACAGGTGCCACCGAGTTTCATTCCCTCCTCCCAGTGGTGCTCGGTTCTGTTGCTGCTGCCATTGCACCAATTGTGGAAGGAGCCAGCCGGCTCTTCCCTGCCTTCCCACACAAGTGACCCCTAATCGACTGAGTGGTGAGATGCTACATCCTGCCTCTGCACAAAGCGGTTAAGTGTGCAGGGAGGCAGGAAAAAGCCAGCTGGGCTCCTTCCACAATTGGTGTGACAACGAAAGAGCTGAGCACCACACAGCGAACAGTGAGTGGACTGGCTGAATGGGGGGGGGGGGAAGGAATGTGCTTCCATGGCATCTGTGGTGCCATGATTCATAGGTATTCATAGGTATACAAATATAAATAGCTCATCTCTACAAATAACACATCATTAGCAAAAGAATGCCTTAAATCCAGGAAAGCATTCATTCATTCATTCATTCATTCATTCATTCATTCATTCATTGGATGTGCTGGCATTATCTCAGGATAGAGTATAGTAGAGCTGGTAGTAGAGATGCTATGCTCCAACTACCGTCTATGTTCCAACTACTGCTGAAGATGCTTTTATGCAACCATCTAGGAGGAAACTGATCACATACCAAAACAAGATATGCTTCTAATCATAGGCAACTGCAAATTCAAAAGTAAGAAACAAAGCAGGAATATTATATATTAGATTACAACAACTTGAAAAATCTGGACTGGCTGAAATCTGGACTGGCTGAACATTGTATCAAGTAAGAAACACTTAAAATGATAAAGGACAGGTGCTAAGCAAAATTAAAGCCATCTGTGTTTCTTCTCCTAAACAACAATATCTCTCGTGAAAAAAGACTTTATTCTTTTTGTTTAGAGACGCCTGACACCCTGGTTCATATACTGTTTCAATGCCCTGCTCATTCCCACCTCTGAAATTTTTTTCTTGAACCTTGGTTCTCTTATTTTTCCAATTCTTCTGAGTCAGTTCTTTCTATTTTCATGAGCGATGAATGTAATGCCCTGACCACTGCTGTTGCAGGTTTCTTATCTGCAATTCTGAAATTGTCCCCTGCTTCTCACTCCTAATTTGTGAAATTTGTCAAATTTTACTTTTCCTATTTTGCTTGTGTTGTTGTAACTTGTAAATGCCATTAAAGGTTTCAGGACACACAACAACAGTAGGGTCAGAATCGTGAATGCAACTTTTTAGCAACTGTCACATAAAAACAGAGGACTATTATGGTGGCCAGTGCAAAAGGAGAGAAGAAAACAGCAAAAGAGGAAAAACAAGAGATTCCACTAGGAATGCTGAAAAGGACCAACAGGGAAGCCCACTATCTAACCAGGAGAAACAAAAGAAAAAATGGAAACAGTACACTGAAGACCTAAACAAAAGAGATAAAAGGATGACAGACTCCTTTGAAGAGGAATCCTATGATGAGGAACCTACAAT